GCAGAACAGACAGGTGAATCCACATGCTGGCAAGTCAGAAAGTAATTTTTAACCAAGCACAGGGGCATTTTACCTTCTTAAAGTGAAGAGGGGCCAGTGGTTGAAGCAAGGGCCCAAGTTCTTTGAGGATGTGCTACATTGGTGGTAAATTACATCAGTCTTCTCCTATGTGGATTGGTATTTTTACCAAGAAACTCAGACACGTGGTTGAAAGGCTTAAGTAAACTGGCTAATTCTGAATTTTATTTCTACATCATTGTATGCGGGATAGTAACTATAATGTGATGGCAGTAGTATGATAGTAACTCTACTGTAATTTGAGTGCCAGTCTTCCTTATCATGAATCTTAAGATTATGAAAACTTCATTCTAGACTGATTTTTACCATAAAATAAATGGCACTAAGTGATGACAACCATACCATTATGCCATTATGATGGTAGCAAAAACCATTAAAAGGGAAGGAAAGCAATTTTGATAGAGTGGTTAATAGGTGTCAGGAACTTTATATTCTTTACTGCTCATTCCTGTAATTCTGAAAATTGGTATTATTATCTCCATGTTATTGTTGAAGATCCTGACATGCAAAGTCTGACTGGAATCCAATCTCATGTCTTTCTGTTGCCCCATGCGTCCTTATCCTTTCCAGTGGACTTATCATTGGGTTTGGCCACTTTAGTCTCCGACTGTCCTTTTTCCCTACAAAAATGAAGCACAAGTTGAGAACCCTCTGATTCTGACAGAATTGTACTGCTTTGAACCAATGGAATTTACTGATAATAATTCAGTGGGGCAAAGTGTTTTGATATCTTTTGTTTCTGATATTGAGGTCTTGGAACTGTTGATCAGATAATCAGTCAATGGTGCCTGATACATCGTTTATAATAATACAAAGGGGGAAAACTAAAGCCAGGAAATCCATTCTGTTGATTATTCGTATGTGTTCTAAAAGAGATGGCTCAAATCTCTGCCCATTTATACTGTATTTTCAAACAGATTCCAAAACTGCCAAGACATTTACAGTCTGAAATATCCTGTGCCAAATAGTTATGGCATATTCATGCCAATAATTCAGATAAAAAAAACCAGCAAAAATAGCAATTTTCCCCTTGTGGAAGGAAGCCAGTGGTTTTCTTTAGAGAGGAACAGCAGATGAAATATGACTAATTATACCATGGAGTCTCTTTGGCCAAGAGTAAATTGTTTACTTAAGCTCTTTTCCTATAGATCAGACTCTGGTGTTGCAGTCTAGTAGACTGATTTAACTGCCTCTGTGATTTCCTTTTATTTTGAAGATTAGCCCGTCTATGACAAAAAGGTTAATTGCAACTCAATAGAGCTAACTAATATTTTATTAAGAAGGAGTTGGCATCCTGAGCTTTTAGGAGAACAACTGTTCTTATAATTCCATGAGGTACTTACAGAGCAAGTATTAGACTCCTCATATTCAGCTCTCTGTTCACATTACCCTGTATCGACCACATCTAAGTAATGTCAGTGAACTGTGCTGAATAATCAGTCACATCAGTTACGTCTCTATAAAGGTGAGATCAGTAAATGTATCGCTGGGAAAAGTTAGGACTGCTGAGGTGTCTTTTTTGTCTGACTTAGACATTGTGGCTGCTCAGCTTTTTCAAAGTTTGACTATACAGTGGGAGTTGATGACAAATCAAATGTACTAATTTAGTTTATAACATAGGCCATTCCAGATGTGTCCATGAGCACAAAGGGGCAGGCAGTAAGGACATTCACTGTGGTATTGTTAGTAATAGTGAAAAATCTAGAAACCACTTTGATGTCCATGAATGGAACATACGCATGATCAGGAAGAGCAAATGCCCTGATTCCGTGAGATGACAAGTGTACAGGCAAGAATCAGTGCCATGTGGATGGGTCTAGAGGTGGAGGGGACAGAACTGAAGTTGAAAGCTTTTGTGCCATTTGATGATTTGTATCCTTCCTGTGTGTCATTGAATTTATTCCTTCAAAATTGCCTTTATTTTTTTTTCGAAACATTTTCTGGATAAATCTTATTGCACACAGGGAATGAAAATGGCTTCTCATTTAATCTAACACCCAGATGTACTAAGGGGTACAACATTACTTGTTAGAAATATGAAATGTCAGTAAGTATGAAACTGAATTAGAACTTCCTGGAAATATTCAATACAATTACAATATTATAATATTTAATTAATGTCAGAAATAGAAGTGATCACAGGAAATACTTAACGTGCCTTTTGCCAACATAGTTACTGTCATCTGAAGTCACCCTTACCACTGTTAACCAACAAGCAAAGCCAAACCAAAACCCAATGATAATAAAACAAAATGGGACTTATTTTAAATCCTATTTTAAAGCCACAAATACACTTTAATTAATTAGCTAGTGGCCTGCTTTATGCCAGACCCTGTTCTAGTGCTGAGTATGGAGAGATGAACTATAGTTAGAGAGACTGACATGTTAATTGACAACTGTTAGTAACATGTGAGGGATATATCCTATGGTACGAATGCATGAGTGCATGGAGTAGAGAATCTCTCTCTTATGAGTGGATCAGAGAAGCTTCCAGAAGGAGATAATGCTTTAGATGACTCTGGAGGATGGTTGGGGTAACATTCCAGGCAGGCAGAATGATTATAACATGTGAAAACATGGAAGCATAAAACATCATAGGGTGGACAGAGAATTCCTAGTAGATTTAATTTTAGTTTTGAATTTATTCTTCTTTTAACTTGCTATTAGTTTTAGTAAGTCTGAAATATGGAGTAGGTGTGAAGAAGTGGAACAACGGATGCATAGCCAATCTTTGAGTCAGAAACTAAATGGTCTGTATAACAAGGATATGCAGTGTTATCCTGAAGGCCTCCAGGAATCTCTTAAAGAATTGGAAACAGGGGGTGAGCATGGCCAGATATGTGCTTTAGAGAGAACTTTGTCATCAGTGTTGAGTTGATTGAGGAGTATATGGTTAGAAGGCAAATAGAGAGTATGGTTTTTAGGATGCTGCCTCCTAACTCAGATAGAAGATGATATAGTGTCTGACATAAAAGGATGGAGAGAAGAGATTCAATTTAAGTGTATTTGTTAAGACATTGTATTCTATAAAGCTTGGAATTGATTAGATATGTGGGTGTGGAGATAATAGTGAAGGAGGATGGTAAATTTCAAGTTTCTGATATGGGCAACTGGAAATATCATGGGGCCATTAGTTAAGACTAGGCATAGACATGGCTGAGGTATCTTTTTTCTCTGACTTAGACATTGTGGCTGCTCAGTTTCAGTGCAGAGTTGGAGAGGGAGAAGATGATGAAGAGATCACTTTTGGACCTGCTGAGTGTTAGGTGCCTATAGAAGGTCTTAGTAAGAGGTAGCCATTGGCCAATTAGATTCACAGGTCTAGCACTTAGAAAAAGATTCTAGGTTGGTGGTATAGATTGCATGTTGGTCTTTCACGTTGATGTTGAGTTCTTAGAGAGCTTGTGGCATACCTGGTATTTCTTTGTTTCTCTAGCACATTGCACATGGTAAGCCTTAGGGTTATGTACAGTTCCCAAAGCCTAACATTTTTTTTTGTCCTAGTCACTAGTATGAAGTCTATTAATGAAGAATTAAGGACCTTCCATCAGTTGATGCTAGTTTACTTCTATTCAAATCCAATTTTTGGATACCATAGAGGGAGCTGAACTGGTGAGGCATACAAAGCTTAAATGAAGCCAGAATTAGCCTGAAGAACGGTAGTAAAGTATGATGTCATCTTCCTAGTATGGTTTGAAGGACATTTAACTGGTGTCTATCCAGGATTTCTTCCTTCATCTTTTGACACATTTCCTGAAATTTCATCATTTCCACTATCATTCCTTTGGACCATCAGGCATTTCATTTTTGAGGATTTGTTTGGTAAATACCCTAGTGAAAGGGAATATCACAGAAGTTATTAAATGGTCTTAATAAAATCTTTAATAGATTAGAGCTTTTTGAGATATCCAGAGAAAAGATCTGAATATGGTTGGTTTTGCTCTATTTGTTCACATCACATCTTATAGACATTTCCTTGAAATTAATGGTTGTTCATAATGAAAATTTGACATTCCAGAAGAAATTTCTCATTAAATACATATTCTTCCCCCCACCAAGTTAAAATTACTACTTTTTCAGAAAACATTATTAAGGTTCTAGATATTTAAAAAATGTTTGGATATCACCGTAGTTATTAGTAAGAGAGAGATAACATTTTGCTACATTACAAACAGGTGTGATATGAAGCATAACATAATGTGTGAGATTTGTTGACTTTGGGCTTTATTCTCTTAAATGTATATATATATGCATATCAGTATACAGTAGGACTGTTTTTATTAGGCTATTAATAAATAAACCCCCAACTTTTAGTAGTTTAACACAATAGAACCATATTTCTTGCTCATGTAGCAGTCCAAAGCAGGTGATCCTTGGCATATGGCATTCCGTGCACAGATTCAGTGGCATGCCATTCCCTGGGGCCTTACCATTTGTATCCAGCTGGTAGAAGGAGGGAGAAAGTGTGTAGAAGTCTCACTTGCTTCTTAAGCTGTGGCATGAATGGAAGTAACACACATTATATCTGCTTTCATTCCATTAGTGAGAACCAGGGACATAGGCCACACTTAGATGCAAGGAATGCTTGGAAATGTATTACAAGCTGGGCAGCTGTTTCCCAGTAAAAAAACTTTACAATGCAAGGAAAAGCATAGAATTTTGTGGACAGCTGTGACTTGGCTACTGAGACTGTGTAATAGATATGAGCAAAACACAAAGGTTATGTATAAAAATTACTCAGTGTTTTGCAGCCACACTTGAAATATATGATGATATCTATGTAGAAATAAAATGTTTAGGTCAGTGCTTTTCATTAGTTCTGGATGTTATGTAATTTCTGAGATCCTTTGAATATTAGCAAGAATGTTGGATTCCATTTCATTATGTGTGAAAAACTGAGAATTTCTTTCTTTACTTTTAAGGTTGGACAAAATTTGCCCGATTGACACGGGCTTTGACAAATAGCCGAAGTGTTTTGCAGCAGCTCACACCAATGAATAAAACGGAGGTGGTCCATAAACATTCAAGATTAGCTGAAGTAAGTGTGAGACAAACCTTTTCTTCCCAACATGGTGGTGATACTTTTTTTTCCTCCAAAATGACTGAACAAATGTGTTTCTGGCTATTATTTTACAGGTGCTGATCTTCTAATTATTTTTTCCCTTATAGAATTATAGAAATTTCAAATATTTCTTTTTAAATTCTCTCCTCTGTTTTGAAATGGGGATCCCAGGTGATATTTGTAGAGTCTGAGGTATTTGAAAAAATGAGATAGGGAAATCACTCATTCATCTGTTTATGTCCAGCACACACTTAGTGAGAGGTTTGCTTTGTGCTTGGTGCTCTGCAAAGGATGTGAAAGTGAGCAAGGCTAGTTACTGAAGGAGCTAACGATCCAGCAGAAGAAACCAACAATGGAAAGTTATAAATACCATGTCTGGGCACATGGGAGCACATGCAGGAGCATTGGCCTTGGCTTAGGGCCCTAGGGAGGGCTGCCTGAGGGAGGTGGTCCCTGACTGAGTGAATCTTGGAAGGAAAGTATATGAGAGGCAGGTAAAGAAGAGGTGAAAGTCATTCCTCCGAGGGAGGCCAGCATGTGCAAAGGCTCGGAGATGAGGCAGCATAATGACTCTGAGTGTAACTTCAGTGTAGGTGAAGTCAGGTAGGGGAGGAAGGATTAGGGTGAGGGAGGATGAAATGGTGGTTGGTGTCCCATGTGCCAGGGGAATGATCTGATCACATGGGTGCTTCCGGAAAACCTCTCAAAAGGAGAATGGCCCCATGCTTTTATTGTATTAATTCAAAATTATTATTCTAAGAAGGGGTCCATAGATTTCACCAGATTGCCAAAAGGATCTCTTGTACAAAAATAGCTAAGAATTCTGTTTCACCTAGTGACTCTGTGTGGAATGGGTAGGTAGGGAAAGCAATTAAGAGGTCCTAGTAGTAATTTAGTTAGGTTGACCATGACCTTAAGCAAGGAAACCAGAAGCACACATGGGCAGGTTACAGACACACCAGATTAGAGTTAACACATTTGTTGATCAGTTTGAATTGTATGTGTGTAGGGGATGAGTCCAGGACAACTCCATGTTTTTGGCTTGGACAGCTGGGTAAATAGTGCTGTTGGTTAAGAAAATGGCAAACATAAGAGGAGGAAGAGAAGGTTTGGGGACAATGATAAGGAGTTCAGTTTTGGATATACTAGATTTGAGATGCCATGTCTAAAAGGCAGAGGGATGCATGGATGTGGTTTTGGAGGGATATCTGGGTTGAGCTGCAGACTTTAGGTGTCATTCTCACAGATGTGGCTGTAAAGCCATAGGACTAGGTGATGTTACCCAGAGACAGTGTATCAAAACCAGTGAAAAAAAGGAATGACGACCCAACTCCGAGGCAGGTTGAAGCTTTGCTGTTCACATGTCTTCTGTAATCATTGTTTGTCTTACTGGAGTGAAAGATGCCAGAAAGCTAATTAGGCTGCCCAAACTATGCTGAGTATTTAGTGGCATTCTCAAAGTATTCTGAGATAATTTGCCAAAAAATAAAAAGATGAAATGCATTTGTTTGTAAATTTGCTCTGCTGGAGGAAAGTGAGTTGTCGTGCTCCATGTTAACTTTCTAAACTAGTTGAAGATATTAAATTTGGCTTAGAGAGGATTAGGAAGTAAAATATGTTCTTGGAGTCTGAGAGGGCTCTGGTGTTTTTCTTGGATCAGAGCTAACAGAGGGCTTCCATGGCTTTCTGCTCCAAGCAGCACTGTTATTTTGGAGTTAAGGTTAGTGCTTTGATGTGCAGACATGTTAAAAGCCCAGATAAGACATTAACATGACACAGTTAAATATTAACTAATAATAATAATGACAATATTTTAAAAGATGATAGGTTATTAGCATAAGGTTTAAGGCAGACAATTAGATACAACTCGCTTTCTCAGTAGTGCTTGTTATGAAGTACTTCTGTTGAAGCTCCGATCTTTTCTGCTTTGAGTTGTCTTCCTTCTACAAATCAAGCTGAATGAAGTATAGGAGCTTGTTTTGTGACTGCTGACTTTTGTAGTCATGATTCCTCCTGGGTTTTACCTATACTCTCTTCAGAGATTTTTTTCTCTGTTACACACCTGGGAAAGAACAAGAACAAAGGCTCCACAGAAAGGTTAGCATCCTGGATTATTCATGATTGTTTCTTCCACTATATCAAAAGGGAAGTTTCTTTCCTCTTCACAGCTCATCATTTTTACTTTTATTTTTGAGGAACTTGCATTCCTGTGTCTTCCCACCTGATTTTTTCCCCTTTGTCTTTTGACTATTGTTAGTTTCTTTATCAGTTAGCCCTGATTCACAAACCTGGTTTAGATACAAAACCATTTTCTGTCAGGTCCTAAACTTGATGTCAAAGACCATGAAGGTTAATAAACTTGTCAACAGATATTTAGTTTGCACGTGCTCCTAGATCTCCAAAGATTGAACCAGATGAAGCACCAAATTAGTCCAAGGATGTCATTTTCCCAGCTGTGCTTGGAGTCATAAAATTTGCTCTACTTGAGGATTTGGATTTACCATTGAATTTCAGGCTCTTTCACGTTCTCTAAGGCATACAAATTTTATCTCAATTCCACTGGGACTCTTAAATTTAGAGCTGATCCCTGGTTTCAAAGATCCTGGTCTCTGTGTAGGCAGTTCATCAATCTTCCACATGCACTGACATCCTGTGGCTGGCTTCAGCTTCTCCCTTTTAGATAAACACACACAGCGCTGTCCCATCCATGGGCCTGTTCCATTACAGTCAACCTCTCCGATATTCAGAGAGAAAGAATGTGTCTCTCTTGGTAGAAAAATACATCCGAAAATGTGCTTTCATGCCCCCTTCACCAAGGATTTTTGCTTATGGAAGTACAAATGAAATAACAATGAAAGTGATGAGTTTTTACTCACTGCCTTGTAAAGGGGCCCAGGGACAGAGGGAAGTGCGCAGTCATGCTCTGCAGACCAGAATGATCAAAGTCTAAGCACTGGGGTCCCTTTCACTGTTCCCATCATCCTCCTCCTCTTCTCCCTCCTGCTCCCCCTTCTTCTCTTCTGCATTTTTGGATTTCTTTACATATGTAAGTCACTATCGGAATAATTGGGTTCCGAATGTCTAAAGAAATATACAACAAAGATTTTACTTTGAACTGTACATTATAATCACCTGGAAAGGTTTTGAAAGTACAGATTTTCTGAGCACCCATGTTAAGATGAATTTAATTGTTTTCTGGGGTGGGGTCTAGGTAGGAGTTTACTGTATTTTTAAAAACTCCAGCTGATTCTAATATGTAGCCAGATTTTAGAAATACTGAACTTGGGAGTGATCTCATTCTGTCTCTGGAGGAGGCATCTCATATTATTGCTGAGTGCTGAGCAGGGCCAACTTGTCTATAAACATGGCGTGTGGGGTCCGCAACACTTCCAGGGGTCCGTGGGATGTTTGATTTTCTATTAACAGTAGAAGGAAAAAATGACCTATTAGATAAAAATATTTGGATATATGATATGAATTTATTCATCTTTGTAACAATGCAGTTGTAAAATATAATTTTTGTTTCTGATGGAGGAAAGGGTCTGGGAAGGCACAATTTCCTGGGGCTCATGAAGGTCATAAGGTACCCTGGCACTGAGTTTATTTTCTAAGTGTGATTCCTTTGTGCTCAAACTATAGACTGTATAAATACAGATGGTATAATATTGAAGTTGACACTGAAGGAAATATTCATGTTGAAAACAGTGAAATTGGAAGAAACAGGCTAGTACTTGAAAAGTGAAAGAGAAGCCATGATTATGTATAATTCTGTATAAGAATGCTTCATCCCAACATGGAGCTTACATTTCTGTTAGGATAATTTGCTGCTATGTAATTTTTAAGACCGTGTGAGAAAAATATGGTTGGGGCATTGATAATGAGGGTAAATACATAAAAAATCTTTATAAATAGTTCTTACAGTCACCATACTTAAAACAATAATTATAATACACAATTAAAGTGAATACCAATGATGTTTTTTGTATTTCAAAATAGTAGTAATGGGTATTATATACTTAGTTTTCAGTTATGTAAGTTCTACGTATGAGAGAAGCTTTTCAGGATAATTTTCTCCCAGGTTTCCAAAATGCTGGTATATTTGTTCTGCTTTGTGGCATATGAGTTGCATGCTAACAGGTATGTGTATTTACTATTACATTCAAATGTCTAATGCATTTATGATTTTATTTTTGGACATCTTGACTCCTACCTCCTGGGTGTCACTGTCCTAGAGACACTGAGCAGTTGGATAATAAGATGGCAAAACTGCCAAAAACATTATCAAAGTCCCATTTATGTAAACTCCTTAACACATAGGCTATCTGAGCCTTAGCTTCACTGAAGGCATGGAGCAGAGGCCTCTGACCTGCTCCTTCAACTCCTTTTCGCAGATTCAGGTTCTGGAAGGTTATGCTAAGTCCTGTGTTTTCACATTCACCCACAGTTGCTCAGACCTCTACTCTTGTTGTCATCTGCTTTTTCTCTTTGTTCTTTTAATTAGACCAAATCAGAGTAAGTCAAGATTCATATAACCTTGCACTAAAAGTTTTCCTTTCGTCAAAAAAGTACAGAGAAGCAAATCTGAGTATTTGGCATTTTTTTAAAGGGAATTTTCATTTGTGCAGGAAACACAATATTCTTGAAGTCCTGTTTGAAGGGAGAAAAGGAAAAAGCAGGCCAGACCATTTATAACCCTGATATCACTCTGTCAGTCATTAGGGCCCTTGCTGAGTTCTGCTAAACAGGGAAATCACCAGCAGTGGAGTCCTGGGGTTGAGCAAGGCCATCAGAATCAAAGCTGTGTTCCCTGAGGTGCTAAATATGTGTGAAGAATGGAAAATAGTGCGTCACCCAAATAACTGTTGGACAATCAGAGAGACATGTGATTCGAGGCAGGCTTGCCAAGGGAGTGTGAAGAAGCCTCGCCCAGAAGTGGATGTCCAGCAGTGCTGTGGATAAGTGTTGATGTTGGAGGAGGTCATTGAGAGGACATGGCTGTCAGTTGATTCTGGAGCTGGATCTGGGCAATCAGAAGCTCCTCACCTCATCCCCTGTCCTTAGACTGTGCCCTCTGCCTGCTGCTCCCAGAGTAGGAGCTGTTTTTAAGAAAGTAGCCTTGAGAGAGTACGGTGTTGAAACCATCTGGATGGTATATGTGTAAACCCAGTTCAGGCCTCAATGTAAACTTTAAAAGTTGTGGTGGGTGGGTGTGGAGATCGACTCATCTCATGGCTGCCTCTAAGTCAGTTTGTTCCTTGTGTATTAAAATGACCACATACCAACTCGGAGTGGTCTGCTCTGCCTCTTCCTTTGCCCTCTCCTTGCCCTCCGTGTTTGAGCTTCTGGAGAAAAAGCCAGATGGCACAGCAGACAGATCACCTTTCGTAGAGAGACTGGACTCCAAATGACTTTCCTGAACACCCTTTCTGTGACTGGCCTTGAAACCAGGATTAATGATAGACAGGCTGTGGTTTGGCTGCCAGTAAGTGTGAATTAATTACTAATTGCAGAGATATCCCAGTCATTGATATTTACATTTCCTCTCTTGTAGGTTCTTCAGCTGGGATCAGATATCCTTCCTCAGTATAAACAAGAAGCGCCAAAGACGCCACCACACATTATTTTACACTATTGTGCTTTTAAAACCACTTGGGATTGGGTGATTTTAATTCTTACCTTCTACACCGCCATTATGGTTCCCTATAACGTGTCCTTCAAAACGAAGCAGAACAACATAGCTTGGCTGGTGCTGGACAGTGTGGTGGACGTTATTTTTCTGGTTGACATTGTTTTAAATTTTCACACGACCTTTGTGGGACCCGGTGGAGAGGTCATTTCTGACCCTAAGCTGATAAGAATGAACTATCTGAAAACTTGGTTTGTGATCGATCTGTTGTCTTGTTTACCTTATGACATCATCAATGCCTTTGAAAATGTGGATGAGGTAAGTTTCCTTTTTTGAGTACTGTGGATCAAATATTTTGAGAAATTAAGATAAGAGGTATTTATAGATAATCCAAATTTTGTTTTGGCCACCATATGCAACTTTCACCCTATTAAACATTTGCCATAAATGGTCATTTTTGATTATCTTAATTTTCCTGCTGCTTTTTGTTGATTTCTGGTTGAAAATACTAAGTACCAGGAAAATGGGTTTGGTTGGAGGTTGAGGTTGGAGGAGGTGGAGCAGTAGAAAAGCAGTGACATTAAGAGTCAAAAAGAAGTTCTCCAACCTAGACAAGTGATTGAAAGATGATGAAACAGATGTATTTTCTTTGGAAAACTGTAGCATTTTAAAACTCTGTGCCTCCATAGATCTCTGACTCCTCCCTTGCAGATGAATATGGTAGCAGTGCTTGAGCTAACAGAAAGATAAGAAGACTTATGGAAGAGCAATTCTTGATTTTTTTGTCTTTTTGGTTTCTTCTTCATAGCCTTTATTTTAAATTGTGTCTAAGTACATTTGTGGTTAGAGACTACATTGGCTGACTTCTGATGTCTGGTCTAATTCAAAGTTCTGTTCATTCAGTGTTATCTGCACAAGTAGGAATACTGAAAATGTGTAATATCTTAAAAGGCCACTTCATCCAGAGCTTTTTAGCCTCTGATTTAATAGTGGGGGATTTTCAACTTACTGCACCACGTTAATAGGATACAACCAATAATCTCAGCTAATAATATATAAATGAGCAATATAGAAGGCATCTATTATTAAAATGTGTTCATAATGACAACATTACAGACTTAATTTCCCTGAAGATCCCACTCTGTCCTTGTGGACTGCTCATATGGAAAATTCTCCACTACATTTTTGTCTTTGCTGTTGTTATTCTGTAGAAGTAGATAAAAGCTTTACTTCAGTGAATTTTTTCCCCATAAACTTTCTACATTCAGTCAACTTTAATAATATTAATAAAAGCAATTTTCCTGAAAGTTAAGTGTAGACATGTATTTTCATGCTGTACATGTAGTTGTTACTTTAAAAATTATGGGAATAAAAGGAAGCATAGTAATTTGTTTTCTAACTTTAGATTCCACCTACCTGAAGCTTTCTAAGGTACATTTATTTCTTTCCTATTTACTCTCTGGAGTTAATTTTGAAAATGTTAATCATACAATAAAAAGATAATAAGCCCTTTTTATATTTTACTTACTAAATGGATTAATATTTTTAGATCAGTACATTAAGGTTTCAGTTATTAGAACAGAAGTATAAAGATTTTAATAAAAATAATAAAATGATTGGCACAATTCAAGAAAAGAAAACATTAAATATATTACATAATAATAAATGCATTATATATAATATATAAATATATTAAATATCCTCAGCTTCATTCATTAAGGAAAATGCAAGGTAAAACATACAACATTGATGTTTTTAGTGATCTAATACTATTAAGATCAAAACTCTGTGAGCACCCTAGTTGGTGAGTACAGTGGCTAAGGAGGTGTACTGTTCACATCTCCTCTCATGAAAACCTGTTATGGAGCAGTTTGAGGCTTGCTGGAACCTACTCCCGGATTGGGAAAGTCAATTGTTAGCATCTCTTTCAAAGTCAGCATTCAGTTAGTCAACACGCTATCACACTGGTAGCTTGAGAGTGCGCATAGTGGGAATGTTTACGCCCAGAAAGGCACAAATGCTGCAAATAAAGAATTTGTATTTTTTCTTTCTGTAAAACCAGTTGTTAATTACCAACATACAAGTCAACATAGTTGACTGACAGCTGCTGTATTTTCTGATCTGCTGCAGTTCACACATAGAAGCCGTTATTTCCCCAAGGCTGCCCCCAAACCAGTGACTCTGGTGGTAAAAATACTGATTAGTCTACCCTTGCTCAGAGCAGAACTCCGCCGAGCAGTTTATGTTCTGGGGCTCTCCATTTATCTGTTCTGTGGTCTGAGGCTCTTTCTACCCAATTCTTCCTTCTCTCTTCACAGTTGTCAGACTTGCATTGAGAGCTGAAGGCTCTTTCCTCTACCCTTTATCCTTCTCAGGCATCTCAGTAAAGTTATTGTACGTTTAACCCTGTCTTGGCATCACTCTTTAGGGGATCTGAACTGATAAAAGGTGGTGTGGGACACTCTCATACATTGTTCAGAGGAGTATGAATTAGTAAAACCTCTATGAAGAATAACTGGCAATATCTTATTTTAAAAAGCAGACCCTAGAGGCAGCCACTTTCAAATAGTTAATTTTATTATTTGCTTCCATGTCACCAAACAAGATTATGTACCTACCTCTTGGTTTTATAGCTTTAGCTTCTCAGTATAGATTTGAGGTTTTAGTACCTTTTCTCCCTATCCTCACTATCTACATGCACTATTTCCTTATTCTCACAGTTCAGGTACAGCCCTTTGGGTCAATAAATATTAGGTGTTTATATCAGAGTGATTACAGATATGCTATTTATAGCTAAACCTTAAACATGCTATGATTACTTTTCCTTTTCTGCACTTTCCATTTTCCTGAGAGTAGATGATAACTGTCTGCTTTTATCATTTGCTTAGCTTTGTCACAAATTTAACCACTAAGCTCTCTGTCAGTTGTCTAAATCTCCCCTCATTACATTGACGCTAGCAATATTCTGTCAACATCATTTTCATAAACAAGTCTCTCTTCACTTTCCTCTCCGACTTGATGGACAGTTTGGCTAGCAATAATATTGTAGGCTTAAGGTAATTTCTCCTCAGAATTTTGAAGGGCATAGTGCCATTGCAGTCCACCTTCTAATAATTATGTTAAGAAACTTGTGATTTCTGATTCTTAACTTGTGACCTGTCTTCTCTTTCTGAAAATTTGGTGTATCTCCTTTGTCCCATGGTTCTGAAATTTTTCCAATGATATGCCTTAGTGTGGGTCCATTTTCATCAGTTTTGCCAGACGCTGACTGGGTGGCCTTTTTTCAGTCTCAAAAACATCATACATCTTGATGTTTTTTCCATATGTTGGTTTTCTCCACCTATGTCCCTTCCTTTTCTCTGTTTTTTCTCTTGCTGGAATTTCTTTTATTCAGATATTGTACCTACTGACTAGTCCTTTAATTAATTAATTAATTAGCTCTTATATTTTACAATTCTTTGTCTTTTTGCTATACTTTTTGGGAGATTTCCTCAATGTTATTTTCTAACTTTCTTTGTCTCTAATATGCTTCTTTTGCTTAAGGTCTCTTTGGCTTGATAGTAATAGAGCTAAATTAGCTTTTGTATAGTATTTTGTATATATGTTTCTATCCTTAGGCTTTTTATCATTTTTAAGCCATTATACTCTAGTTATATCTTTAAAGAGTAAATAGATACTGAGAATCTCTCTAACTGGTAAGTTTAATCTGTGTATATTTATTGAGATCAATTACATTTTGATTTTTGATTTTCTTAGTATTTTCCATTTTAAAATGCTGTTTCATTGCTTTTCTTTTTTTCTTCTTTTCTGCTATCTTTTGAATTGTTTAAATCTTTCTTTAATCTTACAGATTCCCTCTTCTGGTTTGGAAGCTTTTCTGTTAATTGTTTACTCTTTTTTTTTTTTTTGAGAGGGCATCTCTCATATTTATTGATCAAATGGTTGTTAATAACAATAAAATTCTGTATAGGGGACTCAATGCACAATCATTAATCAACCCCAAGCCTAATTCTCAACAGTCTCCAATCTTCTGAAGAATAATGAACAAGTTTTTACATGGTGAACAAGTTCTTACATAGTGAATAAGTTCTTAAATGGTGAACAGTACAAGGGCATTCATCACAGAAACTTTTGGTTTTGATAATGCATTATGAACTATAAACAATCAGGTCAAATATGAATATTCTTTTGATTTTTATACTTGATTTATATGTGAATCCCACATTTCTCCCTTATTATTATTATTATTTTTAATAAAATGCTGAAGTGGTAGGTAGATGCAAGTGTTAATTGTTTACTCTTAACATTTTTAGCACCAGTTTTGACTTCTTAGTATTTTTACCCTTCTCCTAAATAATTTAAGGATCTTTTTCAAATTATTGTTTCATCTTTCAGATTATTATTATTTTGTATTTTGGTTGCACATTAATTTTACCTTTCTCTTACCTCATTTTCTCTTATATTCTTGTACCTCATTGTCTTATTATGTTATTGTCTTATTTAATTTTAGTGCTTATTTATATTTATCCACATGTCTACTAGTTTCTTTGCTCAGACTAATTGATGCATTTTTGGTCTTCTTTCTGGTTCAGTTCCTGTAGATTGGCTCTTTATTATCTATTATATAACATCCAACTTTCTGGAACATACTTCTTTCAGGAAGCCTTCCCACATTATGTTAAAAAATAAAATTCAACTGAATAAATTTTAAAGGTGTTACTGGACTTATGCAATGCTTATGAACTGGGCAGCATCCCATTTGGCCAACAGAAAGGAGCTCTGAGGAGATGTACAAAAGTGAAGACTTTTATAGACAGAAGAGAGTGGGACAAGAAAGTTTTACTAACAAGAGTGGAGAATTTCAAGCAAGGTCACCTCCCTTTAGGGGAAGACAGGGGGTCTAGCAGGCAGATAATCTCACTAGTGCTGACCAGGTAATTCCAGACTGACAGGTTAAGATTCCATTCCTCAGATAGGCTGAAACTGCAATATGTTAGATATGACCTCTTGATTTGTTGATGTGGGCTTAGCACAAGTGACTCCATTTTGGGCCTGTTGTCTCTTTTTTTAATAATTATTCCCAAGCAACTCTAATGAACATCTTTACTGTATTTGATCTTCACTTTGTGCATACATGTACATTAATATAATTTAAATTATTTTTCCTTAATTGCTTTGTGTTTGTGAACACTGTCTCCTTTGTCATGGGATCTGGGTCTTATGCCTTCTCTGGGATGTGTTTGTTGTGAGCCTGTGGGATGGTTATTCTGGCTCTCAGTTTTCACATCTGTAAAAAATGGGAAGGAAGGTCTGACTTA